AGACTCCTGCCCCTCACGCTCACTCTGGTCAGCTGTGAGTGCTTTAGCCCGAACCCCTTACCTCTCTTTCCTGGTTACCGGTGTCCCCCCTCCCAACCGTCACCGCTGATCTGTCCCCGTCAGCATTCCCCACCCATGACGTCCCCCAAAGGCCCACAGAAACCCTCATTTTCCACCCCCCTCCAAGTCTAAGAGTCAGATATCTCCCTCTGGGAGAAAGTTCCTGCTTCTGACCTACTGGGACCAATTAGTACAGTCAGTTCTAGGCCATCATGACATCTCGAGCCCAGAGTTGATCTCTATTAGGCTTCTTATCTCTAGTGCAAATGGCTCTCTGGCTCCTGGTGGGTTATGGACTCCCTCCAGCAACTAGCTAGCCTGAAGTGATGTGAGGCTGCAGGCGTGTCTAGGGCCAGACGGACACTGCTGAAGGGGCTTTGCCCTTTCCCGCTCTCCTGCTCCGGCCAAGCCTAGAAACGGCCTGAGGCCGGGAAGGAACAGTCAGAGCAGGAAGGGTTGGGCTCAGGTGTGTCACAGCTGGGACCCCTCAGCCTTCCCATGTGCACCTCTGCTACTCTCCTTGTCTTCATGCCACTATGAATTGAACTCAGGGGACTGTTATTAGAGGGTTCAGTCGAGGACATCCTGCCTGCTTGTGCCGTTCAACTAACACATGAAAATAGAAGAATCCCTATAACTTGACGTGTGTGGACTGAAGGTCTATAACACCTTACCCGGTGATCAGAGACAGAGGGGTGCAGCTGGTGCCCAGCGGGCACAGAGGGCACACTGCACATCCTTAGCTCTCCCCCGAACTCGCTCTCCGCTTGGCTGATTTCAAACAAACAAAACTCTTCCATCCAAACAATAAAGTTGCTTGTATTTGCATAACTTTATACCTTTTAAGTTACTTTTGTTTATCGTATCCTCAAAGCCTCACAATAACCCTAGGAGATGATAAATGGTATTACCCCTAATTTACAGATGAGGAAACTAAAGCAGAAACATTGAGTGACTCTTCCTGCGCACAGAGCCATTCAATAACAGGGCCCCTACTGGCTGGAACTAAGGTCTCCCGAATCAGTTTGATCCTCGTCTGATTCTTGATCTTCTATTTCTTCCATTCATTTATTCAGCAAATACCTAATGAGAGTCTTCTGTACCCTCGGCACTGATGACAAGGGAGAGAAAAACAGACCTGGTACAAGCCCTCATGGAATACAGTGGGAGAACAATAAACAATAAAAAATCCACACCCTCAGTCTTTAGTCACAGACAGTTAGAATTCATGCATACTTCCCCTTGGTAGGCACAAATACTAAAGACCTAGATTAGCAAAACACACCCCATGACTTCAGACACTCGGCATGCATAGTCTTGCTTCCTCCCCTTAGCCTACAGACCACCCAGCTCCTTGAATGCAATACAAGGGACCCCTCACCTGATGTCCAAATTGGTTGCAGGGAAAGCCAAGAACCACCAGGCGCCTGGGATAGCGGCATTGCAGCTCGTTGAGCTGGTTGAAGTCCCGAGTGGTTGTGCCTCAGAGCGATGCTACGTTTTCAATCAGCACCGCCCTGCCTCGGAAGGTATTGAAATCTACTTTCTCCCCATCCAAGCTGACAGCAGTAAGGTCGTAGAACGACTTGGCAATGAAAGCCATGGTGAAAGTGCAGGGTGAGCCTGGCAGAGTGGCGTGAGCCCACTTAAGGATCTATTAAAAGGGTGGGGAGGGAGGAGGAGCCTGGAAGGACAGGAAGAATCTCACTCACAATGGGGCTTTGAGCATCCCCAGAATGACTTAGCAAAAACAGTCACCCACCTGCAAGGGCTGTTTGAACAAGGCTGCTCCTATTTACAGACAGAACAAAGCCACCTCCCTGCCCCACCCTGCTGGCAACCTGGGAAGGGCCAATTTGATATCTATGGGCAGACATGAATAATTCACTACTCACAGGAAACCAGAGCCCCAAAGGTCGCCAGGGAGGAAAAAAAGGGAGGGAGGGACGCAGGATTGACTCCTACTTGCCCCAGCAAGTTGTCTTCCCTGGGTGCAGATGTTTATTGAGTGCCTGCTGAGTACCAGGCTCTGAATTGTGCAGTGGAGAGGTCAGAGTCTGCCGAGATCTGAAAGAGTAGGAAGAGAATTGGGGCACATGCCCCCGTGACTCAGACTACAGTGGAAATATACATGTTACTCTTCACGGTTTTCTCTCTGGCTGTTGCTTTCCACAAAATCAAAGGGACCCCCTAGGGTAATAGTGTGTGATTTTATAAAATAATGGCTTTCAGGCCTCAGCTTGCACCAGGCTGAAGAAATGAAGTGTGTTTGTCTTGCCAAGTCCTTTGCTGAGTGATGTTACTTGTGCTGAGGAGCACATGCACCCCTGCCCCTGCCCCTGCACTGTGCTGTCTCCTCATCTACAGCCATATCAAGTGAACTCAAAAGGAGTCTGGAGGCCTTGCTGGAAATATATAATAGAGATTTATTCAAGACTCTTGGAGTTCGCAAACAGGGAACACAGCTAGGCAAAAACCAGACATGTTCCAAAGAAGAAAGAATAGTTAAAAATTTTTATAGTGAAAAGTACACTCTTGAGAATTATCAGCCCTGCATTCTGAGCCCCTAGGATTGGTCCAGAACAGGTATCGTCAGGGGTCAGGCAGTGAGGATGGTAGATGCCAGGTTGTCTGGAGGACGGGGACCAGGAGGTCAGGTCCGGTCCTGGTGGTCTGAATAATGGAAGCCAGGTGGATGTATGTGTGGGTCTTTGAGGGTGACCTGGAGGTTCAGATGTACATACAAGACTGGAGGTTCACAGAAGTTTAAGTTCCCAGGCTAGTTAGAATAAGAATGGAGTCTTCCCTCCTGCCTCAACTTCCATAACATTAATAATTTTGGCAGTTGGTTAAAAAGGACTTGATTTTATATATTCCCTATCACTGCTCTCTCTTCACCCCATACCCGCCCCCCCACAGGGTCATGAGGATGCAGTCCGTTGTGGGCAGGGCAAGGGTGACAGGAATCACACAGCAGGTGGGGAACTCGGAGGGGATGAGCCACACCTACCTCTTCTCAGACAAAGGCCCAGTCCCAAAGGTGATTCCCCGACAGAAGGAAGTACGCAGGGAGTCAAACTGCTGTGCTTCTAGACCCAGCCAGGCCACCCACGGTGTTTTCAACTGCAGCCATGCAGAGCGCTGCAGGCCAGCTGGGGACCTGCTAAGGATTATATGGTGTGAGCACACCCTGGAAGCCCACAGAAACTAGAAAGACCTAATGCTTCACTTCATCTCTCCAAGCACCTGCCAACTCAACAAATCCCTTTTTAAAGATGCCTGGATTTCTCTGCCAGTGACACTGGCAATTAGGCTTTACCTGGCTTTGGGATTTTAGAGTGAAATTTCAACAACAGTGCAAATGTTTACGAGAGATTGTTTTCACAGGTACATGCCCATGGGGAACTGTCTCCTTGAACAAAGACTAAGCAATGCTGGCAGCAGCTGGGCTTGAGAATCTGTTCTATTTAGAAGATAGAGACTTACTTGCCAGGAAATGCCCTACTTTTCTCTTTTGCAGCCTGGCCCATGGCTGCTTATAGCACGTGGGAACCCACATGTCTCAGCTGGAAGCTCCCTAAAATCAAGCCTCTATTACCTACGTGGGAATGGAACCTTTGGCCAGTTAGAGAGGTAGCAGGAAATGCAGCATGAAGTGTGTCCCTTGTTCAGGCTGAGTGGAGTTCCCAGAAGTAGCCCATAAATGTCCCTATGAAGCCACTGAGTCAGAAGGACTTGGCCTTGACAGTGGGCTAAACTTTAACATGAACGTTCCAGACTTACGTGCATGCCTAGCATTTTCCCGGTACTCTCTGGACGTCCAGACACCGCGAATTGGCTGCCCTTCTACGACCCCTCCAGGAAGGCCATGGAAGTTCCCTCTCCCTTAGGTACATGCCATTCACTTTCTCGCGGAACACCACGAAGCCCTTTGAGTCACCAGATTATCACCCTTCACGACTGAATAAAATTGATGAGTCTTTCCTAAAGTTCCTTTCTCCAACCTTACTTCAGAATAGCCCACTTTCCAGAAGCTGGTAACCCTGTGACGTGCACTAAGTGCTTGATTCCCACGGCTTCGCACAAGGACAGCAGTTATTCTGGAAACTGCAGGGGCGTAGCAGGCAGACAGCTTACAGCAGTGGTTTGCAACTCTGGTGGCAAATGAGAATTGCTTATAGAGACTTTCCTGCACAGAGGTGGCAGAGCTTTCCCGCCCAGAGATTTCGGTTCCGTCGTCTCTAGTCAGGACTCTGCCACAGTTCCCTGGGGCCCTGCCGCACCTGTTTCCTCTTCTGTTGAACCAGGACAATCGCCCTCCTTATCTCACACAGGGTAATTGGCGGGATGGAGGAAATAAAGCATTGCAAGTACTCTGTAAGCTGGAAGGTTCAGGTTAAGATCTCAGACTGCCCTGCCTTGTTTTACTCCTTCCTTCTTCAACCGATCCTTACTCTCAAACATTCTCTGCCTCTCCCATCAACTCTGTATCCCAAGGTATAGCATTCAATAGCTACCACTGCCCCCCACCGCACCCTCAACACACACGCACCTCCGAGACTCCAGTCTGCCTTGCTCCCCGAGAACACTCAATCACAGGGCTGGAGTGAACTTCTAAAAGATGACCGAATCCCCCCTCATGCCTTCAGGAAGGCCTGTTCCTGCCCCATCTGACAGGTGAGAACCTTCTTAGCTTTAGAGACTCCCTGAGACACAGACACTCGTCATCTCCATGATTTTGCTCAGTCTCATTTTCGCAGTGTAGGCCCATCATGGAGCGATGGAGGCTCTGCCTGGGGCTTCCCCGCAGATGGCATTAGGAAAGGTACAACATGGCAGGTGTCTGCCACTCCCACTGTCATTCTACTGCCATTGTTTCCCCTTAATGGCCAGGGTCTGAGCCAGACCCACTCCCAGGGACACATACAGGCACCCGTACCTGCAGTTTGAAATGTTCTTTATTTTGTAAACATCTGTGTTTAAAATAATGAACCCTGCTCACAATTCATATACTGGACCCGAGACACAGGACACAAAGTTCACCCGTCACAAGGAGATGGTGGGGGCTCAGGAGCAGGCGGAGGGCCTGGGGCTGGGCTGAGTCTCAGGGCAGCAGGTGCAGAGGTGGCGAGGCGTAAACAGGCAGGAGCACCTGCTCGACAGTGCGGCCTGGTGCCAGACCCCGGGCCACCTCCTGGACGGCAGCAGTTAGGGGCGAGGGGCTGACTCCGGTACCTGTTGAGAGGAACTGCACCCTAACACCCCAACTCTTCCCACCCCCATACCTTCCTCGGCTGTGGTCCTGGAACGGGGCCACTCAGGCCACAGACTCTCAACCCCTTGGTTTCCCTTCCAGAACCCCTAGTACACAGTTAAAATAGAGTTCCTCTGTCCCGAGGGGGTCAGGAGAAAGGCAGTACCGCTCTGCCTGATCTTCAGGGAGAGCTGCAATACGACACACAAGTGGAAGCCAAAGCAAGTATGACTTCCCCCTTCTGAAGTCTGGGTTGAGGGCTGGCCTTACTGACCCCCCGACCCCCAGGGCCATGCTGATTCTGTCCCGACACCCGAGGAGTCCTCAGGGAAGCATCCCTAGCCGCACTCATGACTTCATCCTAGAGTCAGCTCTCTACCTTCCTCATCAGACTTACACCTGTTCCTGCCTCCTTTTCCTTCACTGTGCAACCCATCCCCATTCCCACGGCCTCGGCCACCACCTCCTGGTTTGATAAGAGGCTGGAGGAAAGGTTTGATGATTTTATCCCCCCACTGTTTTGGAGTAAGGAAGTGGGGCTCTTAATCCTTCACATGGGTGTGCCCTGAAGTTTGGTCTGTAGTTGGTGAATGCTTGATGCCCAGTGATTTTTTGGCTCCAGCCCCAGCCATGCAACACAGCTAGTGTGAAGCTTGAGAGTGATCCTCCTGAGGAAGGTAAGGAGGAGCCCTGCGAGAGCTGGTAACTCACTTGTTTCTTCCCTGGGCTCTACGGGGGTAAAACACCTCTTCCCGAGCAAAGAGCTCTGGAGGAGTCCTGTTCCCTCCACCTGCAGCCACAGTGCCCACGGGGCAGTTGGCAACCCCTCCAGGCCCCCCCTCAGGAACTAGAGGGGCAAGGTGAGCACTCTGTCTAGAGGCTGAAGAGAACAGCACTGAGCAAGGCCTGCCTCCTTTTCTCCCACGAAGTCCCTGCTCTTCTGCCACAAACTTGGGGTCTCAGGAGAGCCTTGGGCTGAAGGCTGGGTTCTGTGAAGCCCCACCTCTCACCTGCCAGGGACTTGTGGGGAAATGCTCTTCTTCCACAAGAACTGGAAGGTGGGGCGCAGGGAGCCCCTGTTTCCTTTGGTTTGCAAACTACTGTCCCTGGCCTGCTCTCCCTTGCTATTAACTTGATTTATAGTAACTATTCCTCCATTTACAAATGCTCCTCTTTCTGAGTTGGCTTGTCAGCCACTCCCTCGGGGCTCTCCTTGCCCCGGCGGTGCCCTCAGGCTTTGGTTCACGTCTTTAAATTCAAGAGCCCAGGTGGGAGAAGCTGTGTACACACCGCGTGGGAGGTAGAGAATGGAGGTGATTTTTGCCCCTGCCGCCCCTCATCATTTTTGTCTTCTCTGAAGCACCTGCCTCCAAGCTCATTTCCCTGAGAGGCAGGTGGGCAGGGGGGCGAGCAAGGCTGAAGCTGGAGTGGAAGGTGGGCGGCAGGGAGAGGTAGCACAGCCCCAGGCGAAGGACTGCGTTTGGTGTTTCCTTCCTACCTCGATGGTCCACTTTCCCAGGTCACAGGGGAGGCAGGCCCATGGCACAGAACGGGCGGTGGGGAGCAGAGGACGGGAAGAGGCACCCCATCACCTTTGGCCCACTCACAAAGCAGGGCGAAGGTTCTCCCAGGAGCAGAGACGGAACATCCCCATAAGCCTGAGTCCTTTCCCTCGGACGGGGTTAGGAGGAAAGGAAAGAACGATGCTGCATCAGCAGCCACAAAGCAGGCCACACAGGGAAAGAGCTTGAGGGGACAAAGAGAACAGGGAAGAAGAGAAAAAAGCAGACAGGAGACAAGATGCACTGAGAGGAGCCTTAAAGTGGCCTTGGCTCCGGACAGGCCGTTGCCTGGGGAGCTGGGCGTTGAGGGCGCTCAGGCGCACTGGGGCTCAGAGCAGGCCTGCAGCTAGGGATTGGGACTGGAGATGCCACTCCGGGGGCGGGGCTGGGGCGGGGCTGGGGCTGCTCAGAGACGATAGCGAGGGCCAGGTCGCTCCGGAGTCGCTCTCAGGGCCAGGCAGGGGGAGCAGCAGCTACTGATATTCCACAGGGTCACCCAAATGAGAGGAGAAGCGGGGCAAAGCCCAGACTCCCTGTCTGCCCGCGGGCCTCCTGAGGGGAGGGGGGACTTGTGGGCGCTCCACGTAGGACCCTCAGCACCAGCAGGTTTTGGAAGAGTTCACTGGGCCCTCAGGTTTGCTCTCATCCTCCTCAAGCTCTGCCAGTGCCAACTCGTTGCTGGCACGTGTCCGGAGACCATCTAGCTCCTTCCTATGGGCCTGCAGCACCAGCTCCGTCAGACGTGTGAAAGACTAGGGAGAAACCAGGGGGCACAGGTTAGTCCGTCCTTCCTCCTTTCCCTCGTGCAACCCTGTAATGCCCAAGGGGCAAGGTCTCCTCTTATGTTGGCTCCCAGCCGCCACCTCTCCCTCTGGCTTCCCCACTCCAGCTTTCCCCAGAGACAGAGGGCAGCGGGGCTTCAGAGTCTCACCTCTTTAATGTTGAGGTTGGTGCAGGCACTTGTTTCATAGAAGTCCATGCCGTACTCCTTAGCCAGCTGCAAGAGAAGCACATTCCTGAAAGGGAGGCAGTGAGGGAGGGGAGGTGCCCGTAGCACCTGGCCATACTTCTGCCATTGCCCTCACAGCTCGGGCTGTGTTGTGACAATTTCTCAGAGCAGGTAACTGTTTGGCTGAGGCTAAGAGCTCCTTCTAAGACATAAGCTAGTGTGCACGCACGCGTGCGTGTGCACACACACACACACACACCCCAGAGTCAGAGATACCAGAATGTTGTGGCAATATGGCATATTAAGAAAAACCTAGGCTTGGGAGTCAAAGGGGCCCGACTTGAATATCAGTCCCGCCACTTAATGGCTGTATGACCTTGGACAAGATATTTATCCTCTCTAAGCCCCAGCTTTGTCATCTGTTAAGGGGGATGACAGTGTCTATTAACCAAGGCTATGAGACGATTAAATGGGGCCACCCATCTCCGACCACTTGCTTAGCACATAGAGTGCTCAACAAATACTATTAATGCAGTAGAGTCAGCTTCTACTTTCAAGACCTTCAATGACTAGGTAGTATTTTTTAATACTAAAAAAACCCCACATCAACTTTATCTTCAGTGTTAGAGGAATGCTATTGACTGAAGAGGTAGAAAAAAATCTCTTGAAGCCCTTGGAGTAGATGGATGACTCTTATCCCGATGGTACCCACCTCCCTTTCTGTTCTCTGGGAGGAAGGTCTCCCTGTACGCTTGACGACCCATCGGCACCCTCCTCTTACCCTCTCTGCCCCCAAGGCATCTGAGTCTGGGCCCTGTATTCCCTCATTTACCTTCCTTCCTCTTGCAAGTGTAAGGAGGAGAGGGGGTGGGTGTGGAGGGGGTGGATGACTGTAAGGTGGCAGCTACACCTGGACACTGCCAGAGAGTCAGCAACTGGAAGCCTTTCCTCACCACTAATACTGGATAAGCTTGTAAGCAGAGGTAATTTTGCCCTGGGGGACTTAGAACTGGGAGAGTTGCTTCCCAAGAGGTCTTTGTATCAGGATGGACCCCAAATCACTGTCCTGAAGGACAAAAAGCCACCTGTCAAGGATGCAACTCACCCAGTGCCTTAGGCCACGATAGAGGTGTAAGGGAGCCTGATGGTGGAGCGAGAATCCTGGGTCCCAAGTCTCAGGACTGGGAGGTAGCACAAATCCCCAGAGATGGATCATCCAGCTCACTCCCACTTACCTGCTGCCCTTGCTCTCTTCCCACCTGCCGTTTCTGCTCTTCATCGGCCTTATTCCCTATAAGGATCTTCTGGACACCTTCTGGTGCATACTAGGGACAAAGGACAGGCAGAACCACCAGTGAGTGCTGCCTTTCCCTCCCGTATTCCCACCACCCCACCTACACTGGCCTCCTCAATAGCACCAACTCTAAGAGCCCTAGGGACAGAGCGGTGTCATGGGGGCAGCTTAGGGAAGGAAACACTCTGGCTAAGTCCAGTGCTTCCTTGGACTGGACGACTGGTATCCGAGCTGGAAAGGACATTGAGTCCAATCCCTCGTTCTACAGATAAGGAACCGCGGACGTAAGAGTTCAGATGGCTTGCCCAAGGCTCCACAGCTATCATGGCAGAGTCCCGAGATTTCAGGAAAGAATCTGTTCACAGGGCAGGCTCTGAACTAACTCACTTCTGGGAAGAATCAAGTCTGGCAGCGGCAGCGCACAGAGTGTGCAGGGCTTGGCAGCTCGGCTTCCTCCCCATGTCATACTCGCCCAGAGGTGAACTTCCCCTGGGCTGTGGAAGTGAGGTTGCCTGGTAGCTGTCGGCTCCCCCACCCGGAGCTTCGGCCTTTCCCGTCTGGCCCTCCCTCTGCCTTCCCCTCTGAGGGGCCTCCCCGACCGTGACAGGGAGACAGCATCTCTTACCTCGTCCACATCACTGACCCACTTCATGATGTGCTGGTAAGAGCGCTCGCTGCTAATGTCGTAGACTAAAAATATTCCCTGAGAGAGAGAGAGAGAGAGAGAGCAGCAGAGAGTGGTGGGGGAGGTAGGCACACAAAGGGAGAGTGCAGTCAAGGGGCCAGGAGCGGGTGTGGTGCCTTAAATGCTGCATCCCACTCTCCGAGCTCTCTGCTTAGCGTAATGAGGACCCCTCAGCACCCAGAAATATCTTGTTCTGTCTCAGACCCCCAAAGCTATTGCTTCCTAGGCCCTTCACAGAACTTTCCACCAAATACTTTGGCCTGGGTCTTTAGCCCAGGGTGGGGGGTGAGGGTAGGGGACCCGGTAGACTGAATGCTCAGGCAACAACTGATGAATGAATGGTTGACAAACAACTGAAAGACTCCCCTGAGGCTCCCCGCCTAGGGCCCTGTCTTGGGGGTGAGTGCACACATCTCTCAAACACCAGAGCTAGGAATGTGGGTGGGAGCACCCCACCTCTAAACCCTGAAAATGGTGGCTCACCTGGGCTCGTCGATAGTACTGCTTGGTGATGGTCTGATATCTCTCCTGCCCCGCTGTGTCCCTGCAGTGGAAAGCCAGTCAGTCCCTCAGAAGGGCAGGGACCACAGAGGCAGGTGAGGGGGAGGAACAGGAGCTGGGAGACCCTGTGCACATGCAGTTAAACTGGGGAGCCGTAGGGTGAAAAATCGGTGGAGCTTTGGTCTCTAAGGGGATCTGGACATACTTGATTCTGCAGGGGAGACGCCTGGACTCCCGGTGCTGCAGGGCTGGCGGTGCCTCGTCAAATACATCTGCACCAGAAGCCACAGCCATAACTGGGCCTTGACAACTCTCTAGAATTTGGCCCGTGTGACCAGACTGGTTGGACAGCTACACTTCCAGACCCTAGGGGGCCTCTGAAGGCAATGCCCATACCAGTCTGAGACTGGGAGACAGCTCCCCTGGTTGGCAAAGGCAGTGAGTGCCTCCAGGAGCGCAGGCCAGAGGGCCACAGCAGCCCCTTGTGGATCCTTGCGGGAACTGCACCATACTGCCCTGACCACTCTCCCCAGGCTTCCAGCGAAAATGGAACGAGGGGTGCACAGCCCTTCCTCCTTCCAATCCTAAGGCGGCACAGCCCAAGGACCAAGCCTTCTTCTAAGACAAACCCATAGTGTTTAGTCTGCCAGTTGTTCTAATTCCTGCCTTTGGGTGACTGTGGTCAATCCTGCGAAGTTTCTCAAGAATGAGATCAGAGATTAAGGCTCGTGGGCACAAGAGATGGGCGCTGAGACTTCTGTTTCTCTCCACCGATCAGGTAGCCAGTTGTCCCAGGTGAAGCCCCAGGATTTGACTCATGGCAGTGACAGTTAGGGAGCAGCCCGGGGCCCTCCCCTCCCACCAACTCACCAAATCTGTATCCGCACTTTGATGCCATCTACCTCTATGGTCTTCATCTTAAAGTCAACACCTGGGGAAAGGAAGAGAGCAAGGAAGTTAGGGACTGAGAACCCCTGAGAACTGGCCGAGACGGCCCAGGGCACTCACACTTGAAGGGCTCTCCTCTGGTGTAAACAGGCAGAAAGATGGCATGAGGCAAGGGCCTTCTCGAACCAGAAACTGACCCAAAGAATTGTCTGGGGCTTTGATGGGGCTTCCCTTCCCCTTTGAGGAAGTTGCCAGCAGTAAAGGGCTTGGAGGCCCAGGAAGTGAATGTCAGTGAATGTGAGGGAATCCACTCCACCGCTGCCTCCCTTACCCAAGCATGTCTCACTCTGTTCACGTGTGATGTCTTCTTAGTTATCCTTCCGGAAGGAACCACTGCGTTTTCCCCTCCTGGGCCTGGGTTTTTCTCTCCCTGCCTTGTTACTAACCAGGAGGGGTGACAGCATTGTCACAGGGGCATGTGGGGAAGGCACATGGACCCTGGAAAGAGGAGGGCTGTTTCCACTCCACAGGGTGTATGAAGCCCCTGGCACCCAGCAAAGGGGCAGCAGGGAGAAGGCTGGTGGATCTGCAGTTGACTGACTGGTTTACTGGGGGAGGCACTGCTGTTTGCCAGGAGCCTGGGCTTTGAACAATCAGGCCTGAGCTTGAATTCTGACTCTAGCCACTTAACTCATAGCTAAGACTTTGGGAACTTTGCTTCTTTGAGCCTGCATTTCCTCGTCAGCAGAATGGGGACATTACCAATCGTTTCAGATGGCTGCTGAGAAGACCACGTGGCGTACGGTGCCTGGCACCCAGCGGCTATTCAATTGACTGCAGTGCTCATTACGCTCCAGCATGGTCTCAGTGACAGTGCGAGCTCACGAGGGACCACCAGGGACCAGGTGAAGAGGCAGCGGCCCAGCACGTCGTTGGGGGAGGGAGAGGAAGGCAAATGGGGTTCTCGGGCTTGAGGAGCTAAGCTGCCACAACGCACAGGACTCATAAGGGATTTGGCAAACCAGCCAAGGACAGGACACGTATTTGAGGAAAATCCGCAGCGAGGCAAGTCAGCACCCCCAGCAGCACACGCGCTGGAATCCGGGTGATGCCAAGAGTTTTTATCACTGCACCTCTCCTCGGCGCTGACGGTGCCCCGGCACCATGCCCAGTGACTCGGGAGCTGTCTCCAGTAGGTTAATTAAGCTTAAGTCTCCGTGTATTCCCCAGAGACAAGCCAGGAATGGGCCTCGTTAACCAGTTTTTAGGGGGAGAACCTGGGAAGGCCCTAGTCCTGGACTGCAGTCACCAGGCTGCACAGCGCAGCCCTGAAGACCCCAGAGGTGCTGGAATCCCCCCATAGCAGCCATTCCACCCGGGCATTGGTCCTTTAATAACAATAACGCTTCTCCCCTTATCCATTCTATCCCTAGCTGTCCACAGATTCAGACGGATTAAGGTTAGGCTCTTCCTCCCACCACTGAGACCAATCATCATTTAATTAGAAGGGGAAAAAGGTTCGGAATGGACAACCTGAACTAAATTGAATTGGTCAGACGTGAATCATTCTCGCTGCCCACGCTGATTCGTATCCATGGAGCTGTACTTTTCCAAGCGGACAGTGCCTGGCAGCCACTCTTCCAAGTGCGCTGAGAGGTGAAGGAGGAGGGTGAAACAAGGAGGGGCACCCGGCCCGGGTGGGGGCAGCAGCATGCTCACGCCCCCCACCCAGGCAAACTGTCGTCAAGAATCTGCCTCTCCCCAACACCTGGCATCAAAGAGAATGCAAGAAGTTCTTGCGTCTCCCATGGAACAGTGCCTTCCACCCAGAAGGACCGGCAGTGTGGTTCATTTTGGAATGGACCTAGCTCACCCTCACACTAGCCCAGCAAGCCCTGTCAAAGACGGCGCCTTGTTTGTGCAAAGCGGCCACAAAGGGGCTCCGGTGGAGACAGAAGGTTCTACTTCCATTATTTCACAAACTTCTGTGGGGACTTGCTTTGTACCCTGCACAGCGCTAGCTGCAGAGAGTGGCAAAATGACATGTGGTCCTTTTGGGAGCTGAGTGGGAAAGAGACAAAGGCCCAGGGAATGGCATCACCACCCTGAGGCATGGGCCCAGCAGAGGCCTGTTTGAGGCCACGGCCCGTGCCACCCCTCCTGCTGTTTCCTGAAGGAACACGGCGAGTTGTATGTTAACTAGGCACAGAGGCCTCAGCTGCACTTGGTCTGCCTTGTCTCTGCAGGCCCGCGCGAAGGGCTGAGCTGGGGGAGGAGAGCCCAACCCCAGGGGAACCTGCCGAAGAGTGAACGCGGCTGTTACAAGGGGCAGGGCAGACAGAGAAACGCAAGGACCCTGGCAGCGCGAGCTGGGCTTGGATTCCTTCTCCCCTCCTCCTTCCCTCTTAGCTGTGTGGCCGGGGATCGAAGCTGAAGAACTCTGAGGGCTCATAGTACCCCCACCATCTTATAACCTAGGCCCTCCTGACCAGCCAATAAAATTTGTTTTAACATCTCTGAGAAGTCAGACCCTCCAACTTTGTCTCTTTATAGGCACTAAGGAAGAAGCAGAGAAAGTCTGTGCCTTATGACAGATCGTCCTCTTCCACCCGCTCCCCATCTTTTTTTTAACATTTGAAGATTAATGGCCCAAGGATCTTCTAGTGGAATCTATTCCTGCTACTCTACTCCTGCATACTTTGTGCCTTCCGCTGGGTCCACCCTGCCAGTCAAGCCCCGGCCCGCTGTGACCTGTGCCCACTGGGGGCCCCTTCTGTACCCCGCGTGGCTGTCAGTCTCTTCCACTGCCGAGCACTGCAGGATGAAGTCACAACGCTGGCCTTGTTTAGTCGCCTGCAGACGCGTGCTTTGTCACCTCGGCTGGGCCTCACAGCTGCTCAGCAACCCGTTCATTCGATGTGCGTTCACCCCTTGCATCCCTCACAGCCACTGTCCTCCCTGCCGAAGGCTTCAGTCCCTGTGCGCCCCTCCCCACAGCTGGAGACACTCAAGGGAATACTGTGCCCCTGTCCGATGGGCCAAATGAAGGCTGCCTGTTGGAGCCTTTTCTCTGAGGCGCACCTCATTTCCTCGGAATTTTCTGGTGTTTCCCACCTTCTCTGGGGCAGGAAGAGTCCTCTCCTCTTCCCAAGTCTCCCCCTCAGCTGTCCTCATCAGCCCCCTCGGCGCTCATCCTAACAGTTCCACCCCTGGCTGTTGCATCTTCAGAGCCCAGGAAGGAGAGAGATTCCTCATCCACCTGCACCCGCAGCGTGCTCTCATCCCGGCTCCTCCCAGGGAGCACGTCTCAAACTTGAAGGTGCAAGCAGATACGTGGGGATTAGGTCAAGATGCGGATTCTGATCCAGCAGGTGGTAGATGAGGCCTGAGATGCTGCGTTAAGCCTCCATCCAGATGATGCTGATGCCTCCGGTCCACCGAGCACGCTTCTGACAGCAGCTTCTAGGACTGTGCTTCTCGGAGTGTGGGCCCAGGACCTGCAGCCTCAGCATCAGCTGGGACTTGTTAGACATGCAAATTCTCTGGGCCCACCCAGCCCTACTAAATCTCAGACACGCACAATTTGAGAACCGCTGTCTGGCCCATCTTTAGGCAGAACCACACCCAAGGCTCCCGACTGTGCTCCTAATGACAGCACATCCCTGGCCAGGGAACCCAGAGCCCTCAGTTCTTAGGCCAGGCCCCTGAAGCAGCGGGGAGTGGGGACTATCACTGGGAGACACAGAGAGGCCAAGAATCCACTTATGTTCCCACTCATCTTATGGCTGAGCCAGAACTGGACACCAGTCTCTTTAAAACCTACCCAGCGTACTCCTCACTTGACCAGTGGCTGAGGCTGTGGGGACTTCTCTATCACGCCCCAGCGTAGCCCACACCTGTGCTGGTATTATGAGGCGTCTAGAAGTGAGCAGTAGGCACATGTGGGGCAAGCCCACTGTGCCCTATTTTCAGGGAGCCCCTTGCTCCTTGAGCATCCACTAAGCCCAGAAGCAACACCCTGGACAGTGCCACCTCCATGTTCCTGCAAGAGGGGCTGCTTCTTTTCCCTGACAGAGAGGAGACGCAGGTGTGAAGAAGCAAGCAAACCACCTCCACGCAGCTCCAGCAGAGGTTCCCAGAGACCGTGGAGCCTGGCAGGAGAAAGTCAAGAAGATGGGGCCCCTCCCCACCACATGTTGAAAGCATGGTGAGTGGTTCCTCAGACATGTCCGTCATGGTGGCCCCCACACCCAGTGTCCTTTTCTGGCTGGGACTCCCCAGCCCAAAGCATCTGTTCTCTGCAGAAAAGCAATCCTGACTAGACCAGGGGTGGATATCTGACCAAAAGGAGGCCCACCACTGGGTTTGCTGGTGATTCACAAGGTGACCTGGCCAAAAGGGACCATGGGAATTAGCTAAGCCAATCAAACCAGCCCCCTCCAGAAGGTGCAGAGGGGACTGGCCAGTTGGTAACGAGAGAAACATGAGGCAGATAGGCGAGCAGAGAAGCAGGGAATGCCCAAGACACCATGTGACGGCGGGGGTGAGGCTCAGGGCGCTGCGTCCCAGCACAGCCGCCGTCCACACCAGACCCCACTGTCCAGCCTCACTGCACCCTGTTTTCTTAGCGCCTCAGGAGGCCTGAAGAGTCACAGCCTGTGACTGTCAACGGCTGCCTGACGGCTGCCCACCGCCCTCACCCAGTTGGCAGGCAAGATGCTTCAAGGCTGGGGCTGGGAGGGACACCTCCAAGTGGTGTGCCCTGCTCCTTACTACCTCCTGTTTTTCTGTCCTCCAGCCCCAACTAGTATGTAAGGGGCAGATAATGTACTTTGTATTGGACAAGTTTGTTGCTTGTTGGTTTTTAAAATCCTGCCTCCATACAGTGCCAGGCAGTTCCGTTAGCGGTGTACCCCGGCCTGAGAGCGAGAGTAAGGTACAGAGGGATGGGTGCCTGCGGATCAAGAGCAGGGACAGGTGTCCGGCCTTCTGAATGCTTCACAGACACCAGCAAGAAAAACTCCTCAGTTAAGTGACAATGCC